ATGGAACCTGCATCCCAGGTAGGGCCTTGACTAGGAATTGCAGTAGTGGGCCGCCCTCTAACCACAGAGCCACACTGGCCAGGGCTTGTTTTCTTAATGGTTGCCCTGGGGATGACCATCAGCATCTTAGGTTAACAATCAGTTAAATTAACATCAATTTAATTTTGTTGGTCTACAAGCTCTTTCCTGGGCCCCTAACTGCGACAGCCCGCTCGGCTGGGCCTAGGTGCCTGCCCGCAGGGACCTCTCCGTGTGGGCTTTCCTGTGGTCCTAGACCCGGGCTGGGCCACCGCAGCCACGGCTCCTGCAAGGCCTGGGAGTGAGCCTCTCTGTGGCCACTTTCCCATGGGGCTTTCCAGGCTGGCGTGGTCCATCTTGCTCCCTCAGCAGTCCCACCATCCAGGGCAGCAGGGCCTGGTCCTCCCCCCTTCCCAGAAACTGGGGCAGAAAACCAAGGGACAAAAGCGCTGCTCTGGCAGAGGGGACTTCACCGGAGGGGGCAACGTGGGCTCTTTCCCCCGGCTGCCCAGCAGCTGCCCGGGCCTCGGCACTGCCTGCTCACTGCCCACCCTCCAGTGACTTTCCCGCCTCGTTCAAGGGGTCGTCAGACGCCCATCCGGACCCCAGGCCCCCCACCCCTTCCTCACCACGGCTGCATTCTGCGCGAGGTTAACCTCAGCTTCTTCCTGGTCGCCGCTGATTCACTTTCCTTTCTCTGGCCGGATAACGGTCTGGGGTTTGGCTGGGCGCCTCTGCTTGCTTACTCAAAGCCAGAGTTCCTGACCCTGCCTGCTAACAGGCACCCAACCCATCTCAGGGCCACTTGCCCCTCCGCTTTCCTACCTGCCTCCTCCCTCCAGCCAGAAATCCCCGCGGGTCCTGAGTCCTTACCCCAGCAGGAGGCGCCCAGCCCTGCCACCTGCCGCTGAGAACAGCCGGCCCTCGCAGCATCCTGGGTCCCCAGTGCCTGCCCGAGGGGGCTGTGTTTGGTCCGGGCTCCGTGAGACCTGCTGGTGGGGCAACACCAGAACACACTTAATTTGGGGACCGCTCTTTGGAGTCCACAGGTGCCTCCGTTCATTTTAACCTCAGACCAGGTGTACCTGGCTTGTGTTCTTAAAGCACTTCTGCAGGTGAGAAACCCGAGGTTCAGAGAGATGGAATTCTTGCTCAAGTTCACAGGGCTAAGCAGGAAGAGATCCAAGCCAGCTACCCAAGTCCTCCTGCTCTGAATCCAAAGGGACTATTGTTCTATAGTGGTGACACTTCTCAAGAAGCCCCTGTGCCTTTGTTTTTAGATACTTCCTGGGGCTTTTGGAAGGGCAGGGTTTATTTGGGTTTTTTGGGGTCGTTTTGTTTGTTTTTGCCAATCCTTGCTTAAAGGCCTCGAAATATGCATTCTATCCACGGCCCAGTGACCAGTCGGGGTTCTAACCTATCGCCATCTCCTTCAGAAGCTGGGAAAGCCTTCTGCTGAAAATACCTTCTCTGCTTGGCTAATAAGTTGTAGTTATTCAATATGCATGCCATTGGCTAATATCAGTAAGGCCGCAGAAAAGGCCACCAATTAAACCTGGTCATAATTTTCATGAATACGTCCCTGTTCATGCATTCAGGACTGTATCAATCTTTTCACACATTTATTGAGCATTTACTGTGTGCCAGATACCCTTAGGCACTGGGAGGAAAGGCGGGATGCAGCGGAGTTCCTGCCCCAGCTCAGCCTGGTGGGACAGACAGACAAACAGGCTCAGGGGCCTGGGTCCAGTCAGGAAGGCCTCTTAGAGGAGGTGACTTTTAAGTTGGGCCTTGAAGGAAAATATATGAGTAAATTTCTTTTCTGAGGGGCTTTTGATAAAAAGGGAAGAGCTAGCTTAAGGGAAATAGTAGGGACAGGGCGGTAATGGGGTCATGGGCACACAGAGGGATGACTGAGACACCTGGGAATTTAGATCCTGGCCAAGTATGCTTGGTGCCAGTCCTTGTCCTATAGCTTGGTCCCCTAAGTGCAGGGACCCAATGTTTTGGGCAGCATTGTCCAATAGGAGTTCCTTGATGATGCAGATATTCTACTTCTGTGCTATTGAACCTGTGAAATGAGGAACTGAACGTTTACTTTTATTTCCTTTTAATTAAACCTAAAAAGCCACCACATAGACAGTGGAGCTCTACCTGCTTCTCACTCCAGGCCACATTCAAATCACTCCAGATGTCTTCAAACATTTCTCACTCCCGGAGTCTGAGCCTCGCCAAGAGTCTGATTATGTTCATCCAGGGTGGGGCTCGGGTATCAGTGTGTTTCGAAATAAACCAAGTGATTCTTAGGTGAGCCAGGGTTGAGAAGCAGTGATCCAAAACTTTGTCCAGCACACTCTCAGGCGTGAGGAGAGCCCCCCTTGACACAGCTTCCCCCAGGGGGGTGTTTGGGCTTCCATCGCTCGGCCCCTCCAGCATCCCTGTGCCTCCCCCCACCTCTCAAGGCATCCCTGGTCTACTGTCCACTCCCAGTAGGATCAGGCCCAAAGGCTCCACTCACAGCCTGCTGGTTCTCTCCGCCACCCAGCCTCAGCCCAGAGACGCTCCCCTTTCACAGAACTCTGCCAGGGCCTGGCCAGCTCCCTCTCCCCTGGACAGCGGGGTCAGAGGTCAGGAGCCTGGTCCTTGCAGGCCCCTGCCCTTGGACAGAGCCCAACCAGCCATTTTCCCAGGCTGGGCTGGGTGGGCCGGGGCAGGGGCTGGTGGCCAGGCTGAGGTTTGGCTGGCTTCTGTCGTTTTCTCATTAAATAGAGCCGCAGATGAGGAAGCAGCGATGCGGGAGATTTTGTTAACCTGGAGAGAGCCTTCCTTCCCCATGTATCCTCGAAAAAACTTTCTGAGCGGGATCCC